ATTTACCTATTTAACAATACAATCTACTATATACCTACGGGTCATCCTACCTATGTTTATTCTATGATAAAAAAACAAAACGTGCGAACATAGAGTAGCGCACATTTTTTGTTTGATATAGCTGTTCTAGTACGTAAGTAGGTACATATTACTTCAATGACTGGAAATAACAAAAGGGAGTATTCTTTAAAAACCTCAATACATTCTTTTGTATTCTTTTGATTTATTACATTAAAATTTGGGCTTTACGTTAAAAAAAGATTGTAACACTTATTTCCTATAAATTTAAACCTAAGTGTCTCATATTTTATGCTGCCGTTCAAAATGATATTTTTAATTCATATGGTAATATAAATATTGAGATATTAAACCCTTAAATACGCCTAACTTAATTAAACTTTAATACTAAAGAGTCCTGTACCTATATTTAAAGTATGAAGAAATGTTTATTGAATATTAAATTTCATTTTTAAACATCTTACCTTTTCCTCGCCGATTAGCACTTCAACACACTTATCACAATGAACACTATTATCCTCCCATTTTCACTGAAAATCTTTGAAAAAGCATAAATTTTTAACAAACACAACAAAAACAAACATAAACATCGAAATGTGAAGTGAACTTGCATACGAATGGCCCGCACTCCATTCGCTAGTCGCTAACGCACTCCTAAACAACTTCAGAGCAAAGCCAGCCTTGTGGCTCAATAGTAAATGCTATATAAACATTTAGTAGTTATATTTCATTAGAGAACATTTTGCCACAGGTTAGAAAGGGAGCGATCGGCTTCTCGAAAGCCCGGTAAAAAGCCCACGCGTGAGTTAAGGCTGAGCACCCCTGCCAAATCTCATTCGTTCGCACATCATCAGCAATCCCATCTGGGTCAAGCGTATGCAGTAAATAAGCTTAGTAAACAGTTTTGTTGCATATAATTTAAGTATAAATAGGCAATTGTAATCAGTTAATATCGAATATTGTAGTAATGAAGTTCTTACTGTAACTCTGTCAAAATAAATAAATATATTTTTTTATTGAAGTTTGGTTCATTATCTTAATTGGCGCAGTCGGTAGGGACCCGTAAGACCAAGTATTATTTCGTGGCGAATAAAAGTTTTCGCAGAAAAATCGGTCGTACGTCTCAACGTTTTAATCGGGAAAAAAGGAAAAACAAATTTATTAAGGAACAGACCAACTTCAAGGACGGTGCACCAATATTCCAGAAGGAGCATGGGAAAAACTGCAGCACTGTGAGTAGATCTTCTTCACCAATCTGTATTTTCCTGCCCTTCTTATTTTTTGTGTGTTTATATTCTGTTTTTTTTTGTGGGATTAATTACGCCTAATTACTAGATAAATTCACACTTAGTTAATTATTCTAATTAGTTAAGTAATTGAGGAATTTAAATTATTTCATTTAATTTCCTTATAAATTCGTTTAATAATAACCAAAGAGTATTTTTTATTGGTAGTGTATTCTGTAACAAAAAGAAAGAAAAATGGAAAATTTTGTGAGAGTTCCTAGGGAAATGGTTAAAATTATCCCTAATTTCGATGGTGATACCAGACTTTTACCACTCTTTATAAAAAAATGCGAGTACGTACTCCATTCATTCCAAGGAAGCCAGTTACAAAACGAATATTTATTCCATGTTATTACAATTAGGTTATCCGGGGAAGCTGCGAACCTAGTTGGAGAACGGGATCATATTAATAATTGGGACGAATTAAAAACATTACTAAGCCAACATTTTGGTGACCCGAGATCCGAGGAATGTTTTTGCTTTGGAACTCAAATCCTTAAAATTAAACCGTAATGAAAATTACCAGGAATTTTGTCACAGGATACAACATTTGAGAAGTGTCTTATTTTCTAAGGTTAGCAAACGATTGACGATCCGAACTTACGTCTAGCGAAACAATCTAATCTAACCATAGTTCACTAAATGCGTTTCTTTATAATTTACCGGCATATTTAGTTAGACTTGTGAGATTACGGAACGTGACTACTCTAGAAGACGCTTTGAAAATTGTATTCATCATTATTATTACAGCCCTTCACAAGTCCACTGCTGAACATAGGCCTCTAGGGAAAATTGTATTAGAAGAACAAAACTTTCAGTCAGTTTATGAAAGTAAAAATTCACGGTCTAATCAAACAAACAATAATCACACTTATTCACCTAGAAATGTTCCCCATACGGAGCAATCTAGTGCAAATACATTTAATAATCAGAACAATTTGTCACCCTACGTTAATAATAACCGCTCTTTTAACTCGTCAAATAATTCATTCCAATTTAGGCAAAATAACAACCATCGCAATAATTATCAACAACAATCGACCACTAGGTCACCAGTACCGCCGGAGCCGGGCCCGATACAGCGTAGTCAGTATTTCGCGGACAATGCCCCTGCGCATACTCAACGTCTAACGCAATATCAATCGCCACCTGTGGCGTCGAGTTCGAACACCGATGTAACAATGCGAACTGCTAACTCAAGGAGAATAAACTATACCAATAGCGAAATAAATCAACCTTGCAATTCACAGCAATGTATTGCATCAAATCAGTATAATAATTCGGATTTGGCTGAAATTAAAAATTTTCACATATTAGCCTTGACGAGACCAATAGAATAAAAATTAATTGTACGAAACTTTTAAATTTACCACATATCCGTATACCTGAACTAAAAGCTGTCTTTATGATAGACACTGGTAGTACTAGGTCATTTATTAATCCAGAACTAGCAAAAAAATATTATAGCGATTCGGTACACTTAGAACCGTTTAAGGTTATTAGTACTCACGCTACCAGTAAACAAGTTACCGAGTATTTTTCATAGTCCACAAAAACACAAGTTTTATGTATATAGTGTAGACGAAAGGTACGATGGATTAATAGGTAGTGATCTCTTAAAATTGCTTGACGCTACCATTGACAAAAAACCTCACTTTATATACAAATAATATTAATATCCCAATTATTAACTCACCGCCAATGAGAGAGACATATAATCTGCCTCCTCGCTGCGAATTAAGAGTTAAATTACCAGTCAACTTATTAAATGGTGAAGCTATATTAAATTACGTACAGTTTACAGAAGGTATCCGAATGCCTGACGCGATAGTAAATTGCAAAGATGGTTTTGCAACCACAGTTATACAAAACTGCACAGACAGTGAATAAAATAATTAGTGATCACGTCACCAATTAAAGATTTTTCATGACACATATAACAATAACTTGAATTTTACAGAACGTAAAAATAATAATTTAGATATATTACTAGAGGAAAACTTAAATAAATTAAGACTAGAGCACATGAACGAAGAGGAATATAAGGATATATTCTATTGTGAAAACATACCGCTATCTTTTACAAACGACGTTAAGCATAAGATTAGGACGAAGAATGAGGACCTATTAATATGAAAGTCCGTAGATTACCACCTGAACAAACTAAGGAAATAAAGCAACAAGTAGAGAAAATGTTGCGAGATAATATTATCCAGGAGTCTCATTCTCCGTGGAGCGCACCGGTGCACTTAGTACCAAAAAAATTAGATGCATCGGGCATACAAAAATGGAGAATGGTAGTTGATTATAGGCGACTAAATGACATAACTACAGATGACAAATACCCACTCCCGATTAGCGATCTATTTGACATGCTAGGAAAGAGCTTATATTTCACTACCTTAGATTTAGCTTCCTAGATTTAGCTACCATCAGATAGAAGTAGATAAGGATGACAAACCAAAAACAGCCTTCAGCACACCCTTTGGTCACTTTGAATTCAATAGGATGCCCTTCGGTTTACAGACAGCTCCTGCTACTTTTCAGATAGCAATGGATGACGTGCTACGAGAGTTACAAGGCTTACATTACCTAGTATATTTAGATGACGTTATAATCTTCTCAAAAAGCCTACCGGAACATGTAGAAAAGCTCAAAGCTGTATTCGAAAGATTCAGAAAAACTAACCTTAAAGTTCAACTTGATAAGTCTTATTTTCTTAAGAAAGAAGTACTATATCTAGGGCACACTATAAAAAGTGAAGGATTGAAACCCAACAATAACAAAATTGAAGCAATATTAAAATATCCCCTACCACAAACTCTAACAGAATTAAGGAGTTTCTTAGGTCTTGTAGGCTACTATAGGAAGTTTATAAAAGATTTCGCTAAAATCACGAAACCGCTTACGACTTGTTGCAAAAAGAACCGTAAAATAATAATTAATGATGAATACATACATAGCTTCGAAACATGTAAAAAATTGTTAACTAATCACCCCTATTACAGTATCCAGACTTTGACAAACTATTCATTTTAACCACCGATGCATCAAATTTTGCAATAGGAGCCGTATTGTCACAAGGTACAATAGGAAACGATAAACCTGTGGCATATGCGAGCAGAACGTTAAGTGATACGGAATTTCGTTATAGCACCATAGAAAAAGAACTCCTATCTGTAGTATGGGCAGTCAAATATTTTAGACCGTACTTACCTATATATTCGCTTAAGGAAAATTTAATTAAGTTAGAAAGAAATATAGTAGTTAAATCGTATGTCAATAGGAATAACTTAGTTTTTGTATTAGATATCCCACTAATTGAACCAGACAAAAATAATACCAATACCAATATCTAATTCCGATGTTACCCATATCATAATCCCATCATATCCTTTCCTATTGGTGAAAAGATTGAAATACCGATCAGCGGTGAGTCCCTGTGAAGAAATCGACGATGAAGGTTCTTATGCCCAGAGTAAAGTCTGGCAGAGTATCCAGCTGAAACATGTATTGAGCAAATAATGCAGATGAAAAACAACCACAGTAGCTGCCAGCAACATAATATACGATTGGAGAATTTGAAAATTCAGAGGATCTTCAAGAACTATTGGCTACTATATACCATTAAGGAATTGATAATGATTGAACACTGTCGAGAACATGTAAAAATACCAAGTGCAAGGCACATATATAATGATGCCTAATCAAGAATACAGAACACAGGTTGGAGACACATTCATCAACGCTCCGAGGTACCTTGCGAATATCAAACTTCAGCTTCCCACAATCGAAATGCCAACCGTACGACAGAATGACATCAAGAAAGAAGCAATACAGTTAGATTTAAGAAACGTGGACTTGAGTGATATAAAAGAACTAATAAATAGTGCTAAATTCAGTGATAACGAAATAAATCCAAAATTCTTAGTAACAAGTGACATGTATGGACCAAGAACAAAATCTGTATAGTATTTACCATTTTTAAATTCAAATTATGTTATCGAAATTCTCCGAAGTCGCTTGAGCCACCTTCGGACAATTTCTCTCTTGAGGGGGGAGGAGTTAAGGCTGAGCACCCCTGCCAAATCTCATTCGTTCGCACATCATCAGCAATCCCAATGCAGTAAATAAGCTTAGTAAATAGTTTTGTTGCATATAATTTAAGTATAAATAGGCAATTGTAATCAGTTAATATCGAATATTGTAGTAATAAACTTCTTACTGTAACTCTGTCAAAATAAATAAATATATTTTTTATTGAAGTTTGGTTCATTATCTTAATTCGTGCGAGGGAGAAAACCAATCGCTCAATTCAACTCTCCTTATATGTATGACAGCAGTATTCGTAAGGCTACGAGGTCGAACAGAGTGCGCGGGAAATTTGAAATAGTTTGAAACAGTTTACGAGTTATTTTATTACTTAATATAATTGATTGATTCATCTTAATGAGGCAAGCCGGGCTTCTGGGCTTGTATAGAGGCTTCGCAACTGATGTAACACACACACACACACACACACACACACACACACACACACACACACACAAACACACACTCTCTCTCTCTCTCTCTCTCTCACACACACACACACACACACACGCACACACACACACACACACACACACTCACATGTGTGTGTTACATTATTATAATCATAGTTAAAAACGGAGATTGAATCAAACACTGAAATAAAATAGAATAGAAATGATTAAATAATTTGTTACAAATATTATTGAAAGACATTTTTTTATTTACTGGAAACAAGGCATTCAATCTTACTCCTCAGGGATGATAACGAAGACAGATGTAGACGTCTGTTCATCCATCCATTCGTTACAAGCCATAAAAACCCACTACTGTTGTTTTCTTATGACTTACCGTTACTGTTACAGTCTTTGCAGTCCACTGCTGAACATAGGCCTCACCCATGGACTGCCTCATGAGGGAGGGGGAGGATATTTGCCACAGTTCCCGCGCTTGGCAAGCGGGTTGACAACCGCAGTTCTTTTATTGTACTCTTTCTGTTATCAGAAGATGCTGCTGCCCATTTTCTGTCTCAGTTTAGTCCCTCTGTCGCCTCCTACGACACCCACTGATAGATACGGGGTAGTGGATATATGTGGTAGAAGATATGGGGTGTGGCAATATTAATGTACATTAATTATGGAAAGGGGATTCCCCGGTTTTGTCACAGAATAAGTAATGAAAAGGTCCATGCTTAATCAGTTCGGACTTCGGTCCGACCCGGTCCGGTAGATGCGACAAAAATATAAAATAAATTGATACATACAAGCTTTTACAAGATATTATTTTAATTTATTGTGAAGTTTTGCCGTCCCCTAAAAGTGCCAACCGGGGCAGGCTGCCTCTACCTACGCTACCTACGCTACGCCACTATTCGCACTTCTTCTCCATAAAAACTCTAGCAAAGCCTAGCTCGATTGACCCTTGAAGTCTTTATCACAATAAATCACTTAAGTTCTTGTCTGATATACAAGGCTTAAAACATTTTAAACCCTTTATCCGAGCTTTTGATCGAAAATTCGCTTCAGAAGCCCTGGAATTAGGTAAAATTAAACTGCGCATTCAGGCTAGAGCCCTGACTGGACACTGTTGTCTAATAAAAACACATGGCCACCCTGGGACTAAGCAACTCGAGGATGTGATTTATATCCTTAACGTAAGAAACGCCTCTGCACATCCTGACTGATTGTGACCCTTAATGCGCAAACGTAACACATCTGGGAAACTACCTACTTCGCCCAGAAGAAGTGAAATTGCTCACAGCTAAGCAACTTCTGTTCATTGAAGATACAGGGCTTAGCAGTAAGCTACAGCCATAGCAGCGATCACAGTAGATCATTTAGGCCGCAGTGACATTGGTCTTTGTAGACCTGCATAACTGCTCGTACAAAAAAAAGCTATGAAGTCTGAACGTAAAATATGCAGTATGGATTTATCAAAGGTGTCGTATTGTTTGAAAATTTTTAAACAGTACCCAGCCTTTTCATCTGCTCTAATAACAGATAAATCCAATTTTTAAGCCAGCCCAATCCCGAAGAAAGAAAATATTATTTGCGTACGAAGCCGTAGGTGAGACACCAACTAATCCTAAAGAATTGTTTAAAATGAACGTTTTTTACCCTGTGATTGTACAATTAAAAGTGCATTGGTTACTTGACTTAAACTATCAAAATTCTATGATACGTTTTCATTTTTATACAAAATGAAAATAGTTCCTGAAAGGTCAAAAAGCCTGTGTTGATTTGTAAATCAGTTGAACAGGTGGCATAATGTGATTTGTCTAGTTGTAAATTGGTTCAGGAACGTATGAGTTTGAACCCATTATTTAAAGATCTTCAATCATCAGAGCCACATAAAGTTCTCAGAATTAAAAATAATGATTTGGCAGGATATTTTCCCAAATGTGTCGACAGCAATTCGTATATTGCTGACTATAATAATAATAATAATAATGTCCTCCAGACCGAATTTCGGCCATGGCGGCCTGCCTCAACGGAGACTAGCCATCGGCGCAGGACAGGATTACAGTGCCCAAGTGTATGCGCAAGCATAGGTGCAATCTCTATTCCCTCACTCTCATAATTCGATGGGACGGTAAACCGACACGACCGGAGAGAGATCAGGTGCAAGACCAACGACTTTACTTGCTTTCTGAGGCACGGGAGTGAGACACCGCCAACTTCCTGACTCCAGGCAATTACTGAGAATTTCTTGAGTGAAAAACGCAATAATAAATTTTTTGGAACCGACGACCTCATGATCAGCAATCCCACTACTACAACCACTAGACCAACGAGGCAGTCAGTTGCTGACTATACCAGTACTATAACTGTCGCTGAACGGAAACGAAGTTTTAGTACTACGTTGCTACTATGTGGAAAGACTGTCATATCTTGAAACCTTTTCCATAGAAAATTCTATTGCCCAGACGTTTAATTTTTCCGAATTAATAAAAAAATTGCAATCGCTTCTAGGCTTTTCATTAAGGTTTTTGTTGGTAGTTCTTTTATCTTTTTAACACTGTCTGCAGAACAACAGTTTAAATAAAAGTTGTCAAACAAGACTATCTTATTATGAGAAATAATCTGTACAACTAGTCACCGCAGCAAGACGAGCATAGTGGCGTTGTCGAGCGCAACAGAGTAGTGCGAGCGTAATGGACAACATTTCTTTAACGCGAATAATCAGAACAACTGCTATGGCAAAAGCGATAGACACAACTGTGCCTGCCCCGCATATATATACCTGTAGATATTTCATAGGTCTTATTTAAAATCTTACGTGGTTTCTTACGTGGTAGAGCCACGCTGCAGCTATATTATGGTTGTAGCACGAATGGGTCGGCTCGACCGGGGAAGGACCACGCTCTCACAGAATACCAGCGTAAAATAGCAGCGTAATACTGCTGTGTTTCGTATGGTGAGTGTAGAGATCCAGAGACCCTTTTTACTGGAAACGAGGCATTTCATCTTAGTCCACAGGGGTGACAACGCATCTGCGTTTTGATTCATAATCGAGGATAGATGTAGATGTCTATGGGGCACAACATCCACTTACCATCAGGTGGACTGTGTTCTCGCTTGTCACCCTTATTCTATAAAAAATAAATAAAAAAACATGAAAAAGCACTTGAATAGTATTTTTTTTAATAGGATAGGGTGACAAACGAGCACACAGTCCACCTGATCGTAAGTGGTTGCTGCGGCCCATAGACATCTACATCTATCTTCCATTACAAATCAAAATGCAGATGCGTTGTCACCCGTGAGGACTGAGATGGAATGCCTCATTTCCAGTAAAAAGGGTCTCCGGTTCTCTACACTCACCATACGAAATACAGCAGCATTAAGCTACTATTTCACGCTGGTATTCTGTGAGAGCGTGGTCCTTCCCCGGTCGAGCCGACCCATTCGTGCTACAACTATACTACTAATATATTTGCAGCATGGCTCTACCACGTAAAAAACGTAGTAGAGGAACACTAAGGTTTTGTATTTAGAGGGGCGCCACTATGAGATCTCGCACCACCTAAAAATTTTGCTAGAGCCGCCACCGTATGCCTATAAAGTACGCGCAAATTTAAGCAATAAGTTGACAAAGTTTTAGCGCAATCTGATGAACGGTATGACAGCGCATAAAATCCTATAATATTTACGCATAAAATTTTATATACTAAAATACAGCTCAACCAGAAGATAAAGCTATATGAATACCCAGAAAGTAATACTATAATATTATGTATGTTTTGTTACTTATAATATTTAGTTATTTTATTAGAGAGCCGTGGTAGCTCAGATGGTTAACACTCGCTGTAAATATAAAAGAACGCGAGAAACCCGGGTTTAATCCCCGCCGGCACCAATGAAATTGTTAATTGCAATTTTAAGTGCTGATTTACCACGTGCTCGGCGGTAAAGGAAAACATCGTGAGGAAACCTGCATGTCTGAGGAATAAGGAAAATTTCAAATTCAATTTCAATTTCAACTTTTACTTTCACTTTCATAATATTAGTTTTGGTTTCCACTTGTATTGTGTGGTCATAAGAACACCAATTTTTTATTTAAGTATATAACATAATGATATATATTGAATAAAAAATCTATCCTATTTAAATGGCAAGTTAACAATTTATTGAAGGAGATTTTGCGTTAATTTATTGAAGGACATTTGCGACTTGCTAAGTTTTCCTCACTGCGCTCTTACTTAGTTTCTGTGCTATGTTCATATGTATGTGCTTCGTACTAAGTTACGTACCAAGAGCAATGTTCTGAGCAAAGCGCGACATTAAAAAATAATATTGTTTTAAGAGTATAAATGTGACCTTAATATGTTATTATACGGTTCATAACATTATAGCAATATTTGCAAGAGATGAAACTTGTTTTTATCAAGTCTAGCAGTTGTAGGTAAAGAAAATAAGGGGTGTTCAAAATTTAAAAATATTATCTTTGTAAGAACAAATCGGTTTATTTGTTTTCGGCCTGTCATTTATTGTTGAATGGTGGATTTTTTTAACTTTATAGTAAGTGGGTATTGCCCACGAACACCTGCAATTAATTTTCAACAAAGAAGATCACAGATGTGTTGTCACCTCTAAGGACTATGATGACATGCCTAAAGCCGCTGATTATTCTCACTGGCTTACTGTACCCTTCAGATCGGGGCACAGTAATGCAAGCACTGCTATTGGTGGTAGAAATACGTAAGATAGTGACACGTTTCCAGGTGAATTCCTAGAAAAAGAGTCCCACGAGAGTGTAGTCTTTCTCATTGTAGGGAAATTTCCAAAATTAAAACTTTAATTTAAAAATGTTGGTAGTATTTTTACTATTAACAAGGTATTCTATTGTGGGTGAAAACGCATACGCATTTTGATCTTTGATTGAGGATAGACTCAGGTGTCTATGGGTTCTAGCATGTTGCTCACCTGAGATATTGACATTTAGTCAATCACTACGCATGAACCTAACTTAACGCGTTTCCGGCCTTTTTACAAGTGGTAAAATAAAAAAATTGTACAAACAACTTCCTTATCAATTTAGTCAGAGGCAGTTATATACGCATTTTTAAGGATAACTCAAAAATTTCTGGTCATATCTTGATTAAATTATATGAGACTACATGAAAAGCACCAGCTTTCAAATAAAAAAAGAATCATCAAAATCGGTTCACCTAGCAAAAAGTTCTGACGTAACACACAAAAAAATACAAATACAGTCAAACTGCGAACCTCCACATTTTTGAAGTCGGTTGAAGAGGAATAAGCTCGTTTCTTGAAGGTGTTTATGTCAAAATCTAGCCAATTCGACGTTGAAGTCGTGTGAGGAAAAAATCTTAGTAAAGAATGCTGGTGGTGTGGTTGATATCGTGAGTTTTGTTGGGTTGTGCGATGGCGGAATTTGGCACCTAGTATTAAACTGAACAGTTCTACGGTGAAGTCCTCTTTTTATTTAGTGATTTAGCACTTGCCTAGTGGAATATAAAACCATCAAGAAATCTATATTTGCTTGAATGAAAATATTTGGAAATCCTGAAGTGAAGGCAGCATCTTAATAATTCCATGTGGCGGCGGTAGAGACTCCACTACCACATAGACTCAATACCCTCTCGTAACTATCGCAAAACTATAATACTGTAATACCGTGCACTCCCCGTGGTAAATAGAACATGCAAAAGGATACAACATCGATTTGCAGTGCCGGTTAATCAAGCCAATCAAAAAGGATCGTCCAGGTCATCGGCGATTCAGGCCACTTTTCAGGCCATTCTGCGGAGGAGCTGGCGCTGGGCTCCGAGATGAAAACATTAATCCACGTGAGGCCGAACTGGCACCTTGTAAAGTTGAAAGCGGTGTGCCGGCATGAAATACTGTCTCGCTTTACTGAGCAGGCCCATCTTTTAAGAGGCCAATTTAGCCTTAACTTCTTAAATTTTACTAAAAGAAATTTCTACGAACCAGCAATAGCTTTAAACCAAAGAGTATATTTGCTTATATAAACTCTTAGCCTTTTAACCTTTTCAACCCCAATGTTTTTTTTGCATCCGTGATTAAAATAAAAACATGATAAGACATCAGCCTGTATATCGGTGTTATTAATAATCATAAAATATTAAGTGCTGTGTTTGTTGCAAGTCGTCGCTTTTAGCAGCCGTGTGATAAAATAATTAAATAATCAAACTAATTAAAGTAAATAAAAATTGGCAAATAAAATAAAATTCAGATTTAAAAACATCTATTTTATTTTTTATTATGTTAAAAGTTGCGTATGTGTTTTTGTGCTTCATTTTAAGTGGAAGCTTAATTTCAGGACAAGAAAACATAGGTAAACGTCTTTGTTTATATATTTTTAGTTAAGGATTAAAAATAAAACAATAATGTGTTTTTTTTTAAATTTCTCATGCGAAGTACGTAAGATAAGTTTACTGAAAATAGTACCAATACTAAACAAAATAATATAATGATATTACCTACACCGATACTAAAAATTTGTTGATAGCTTTGTAAAAAGATTTTTACTTCTGCATTTATCAAGGTGAGTGAGTTTTGAATAGGTAAATCTGAAACACATCATCTTCAAACGAATAATTTTTTGCACGCCTCATAAGCGAAGCGTTGAGGTTGTATGTCAATGTAAAAAAAAATACACATAATATATCGAGAAAAATCACTCGTTTTCATGTTTTTATTATTTTTAAAAATAATTTTCTGTACTTAGTGTAAAAACAAACTGATTGAAAAAAAATCGAGGGTGTCCGGATGTCTGTATGTGTGGATGGCGCACGATTACGGTCGTTAGAATTATGGTGGATACACACGGTCAGTTCAACTGATCAGTTTAAACTAAAACTGTTGATATTTTTTAAAATATCAGATTTTCGATATATCCATAAATAAACTTATATGTAAATCTCCGATATTTATAATGATCGATATATCGCAAATCCACTATTTTAGAAAATATCAACAGTTTTATTTTGAACTGATCAGTTGAACTGACCGTCTGTGGCGTCCATTAATGTATCAATATATTTTGTTTTTTATTAAGTTTAGAATCTCAACGCACAGGTTCATTTAAAAACAACTGGTACTTTTGAACAAAAAGTATTTCCACGGATCTCTTCTTTCGTCTCAAATATGGAAAAAGAAATATTTTTCTTTTCATATGAATCAAATGAGATTATGAGGCGTGAACTTTTGGATTTTCCAAAAATTTTTGTTATTAATCCCCCGACGAAAACAGCGGGGTGATAAAGTTTATAGTGAGTATATGTGTGAGTGTGTCTGTCTGTGGCATAAACTCTCCTCCGGCTCCTGAACGGATAAACTTGTGTGTTTTCGTATGAAAGGTGTCAGAATCGAGAATGTTCTTAGCTATGTTAAAAAAAACTATTCAAACGTTTGGACACGATCAGTTCTTTTTGTTTCGCGGGTTTTTTAAATTTTTAATTTAAATTACGTGTTGCTTAAAAATATTTCTTTATAAATAGTGGGTTTAGGCGAGAACTTGACTGGTGGCGGGGTGTTTTATTGTATAAATAATGGTTTGAAGAGGACTTTGATATTTAAAATTGGTACGATTTTGTGTATTAAATGTCTACGAATGTAAACTATTGGTAGTAGAAATGATGAAACAAATGTAGTCATCGATTGTTTGTCTGCCGACTCAAGTTGCCATCAAATTCTTCCAAAAATTTTGCAATGTGACGCATTAACATATTATAGTGAAGTTTTTAAATAAATTATTTAAATAAGATTATTTCATAATACTTGACACTTGCAAAAGTGTAACAGCGAGGTCACTACAAAAGAAAAAAAAGAATGCGTGCGTGCGTGAGTGCATGCGTGCGTGAGTGCGTGCGTGCGTGTGTTTGTGTGTGTGCATGTGCGTGCGCGTGTGCATGTGTATGTGCGTGTTGCGTGTGCGTGTGGGTGTGCGTGTGTGTTTGCGTGTGCGTGTGCATGTGCGTGTGCGTGTGCGTGTGCGTGTGCGTGTGCGTGTGCGTGTGCGTGTGCGTGTGAGTGCGCGTGCGCGCGCGCGCCTTTGTGTGTGTGTGTGCGTGTGTGCGTTTATATGCTACGTTATAATATTAACTCCAGTAGAGCCACGCTGCAGCTATATTATCGCTCTAGCACGAATGGGGCGGGTCAATAGGGGAAGGACGACGCTCTCACTGAATACCAGCTTGAAATAATAGTGTAATTAGGGTTGCCACCCGTAATATAATATATAGTATTGTACTATATTTAAGTCACTTGTACTATATATTGTAGAATAATAATATACTACAAAAATAATATGTTTTTATCCCTATTTCAACTGTCGCTTTTTTATATTAACTATGATTGGAAGTCTAGAACAAGTATGTTTTACGGAAAGAATTTGTTCCGTCATGAATGTAAAATTGAAAAAAGAAAGAAAAAGAGCATGTATTAATTTAATTAAAAAATTATTTTTAATTTATTTTAATATGGTTCTAAATTTCTCAGACTCCTTTAATTATATTAACAGTAAGGTATTGGTGTATAAGGTCATTGATGGTCTAAGCAAAGAGTAATCCATACTAATATTATAAATGCGAAAGTGTGTTTGTTTGTTTGTTTGTTTGTCCTTAATTCACATCGCAACAGAGCGTCGGCATGGCATGAATTTTGGTATGGGGATAGTTCGGTGGCTGTAGAGTGACATAGGCTACTTTTTTCCGCGGAAAAACATCTCATTCCCTTTCTTGTGGGAAATATTCTATTTTCCCACGGGAGTGAGATGTTTTTCCGCGGAAAAAAGTAGCCTATGTCACTCTACAGCCTCATTCCCGTGGGAAAACAGAATATGTTGCAAAAGTTTATCCTTCTTTCACGTCGCAACAGAGCATCGGCATGGCATGAATTTTGGTATGGGGATAGTTCGGTGGCTGTAGAGTGACATAGGCTACTTTATTCCGCGGAAAAACATCTCATTCCCGTGGGAAAATCGAATATGTTGCAAAATTAAATTCAGCTAGGTGGCGCCACCGTGATTCTACAAGACGGACGACGGTACGATGGATGAACACAGAAGGTCAGAATATCTGGATTATTATGTCTTTTTACCAAAATTAAGATAAAAAATGTATGGATCTGTAATTTTCCACTCAGGACCGGGAAGAGAGCGATAAAAACATAAAATTCACCAGCTGATTTTCTTCAAATGTTTTGGTGCAATGTAATTCACAGAATAGGCGATAACCTCGCAGACGATATTAAGTAATCCGTTGATGCTCTGCCTACCCCGCAAGGGTTACAGGCGTGATTATAAGTATGGTTCAGAAATATTATCACCACCTGTCACGCTTTCACCCTTAACTATTACTTAACTGTGGTAGAAACAGTTCTTAGTAAGCCTTATTAATAAGCCTTACTAATATTTATTGAACGGAAATGAATACATTTCTTATATGTGGTTAAGAATGAATCGGTATTACAATAAGAAAAATTGTGCAAAATTATAAGAAAAATATTTTTTGAGAGTTTTTATTAACTAACGTATACATAGTTTAAATTGATTCCGGTAGATATCGATACTAGGTTTTTAAAACGCGGTAACCAAATGTTTCCTGACATGTACTTAACTCCCGCCGTTGAGCTGCGCGTCAACTTATAGTGCATACGGTACCTATACGCTTAAATTGTTTGTATTTCGTAGCTTATTCGAATAACTGCTTTCGATTTCGGTTGTTTGTTATTTGCTTTGTGATTTGGTTAAGGTTGAATGGATTTATATTGGCTTTAATTTTCGGATTTATGTATTTTCTTGGATCGGTTTTGTTGATTTGGTTGGTATTCCTTTATACATATTTAGACTCTGGTTTTGATTTTGGATTTTGTTTATTTAGAATCATGAATTGGTTTTCGTTGTTTTAGGTTGTTTAACAATATTTCAAAGGAATATTAATAGTATAGATAGTGTATACGGTACCTATACACTTACTTCTTTTTTCGTTGGTTATATTTATATTGACTACTGCTTTCGATTTCGGTTTTCTGCGATTTGTTTTGTGATTTGGTTTAAGTTGATTCGATTTTTTTTTAGCTATCGTTTTCGGATTCGTGTTGTGTCTTGAATTGGTTTTGTTGTTTTGATTTTAAAAAATATTTATAAGGAATATTTATTCCTTTTAGATATTTTGGATTTGATTTTAAAAAAATATTTAAAAGTAAATTAATTCCTAAAAAAAATTAATTCCTTTCAGGTATTTTAATGTTTCTTTATAAATAGGTTTTTTGTTACTTCATAATGCCTCGCAAACGTAAGTCCAGCCTTTCAAGAGTATTTTATTTATTTATTTATTTATTTTATTCTTTATTGCATCCTTAACAAAAGAATACAAAGGGCGGACTTAATGCCTTGAGGCATTCTTTACCAGTCAACCCATGGAGTGGTGAGAATTTGACGTAGGTGTGGCAATATAGAATAAGATAACACAATACAAATGATAATTAACTACGTAATATATACAAACTACTAATAAATAAACTATACATATATGATCTATCCTTACATATATACACATATATAAATAAATGGATATACATACAAGTAAACATATTTAAATACATACGTAATTAGTATATACAAATGAATATGAATATATACGTCTGCTTGGCAATACATATTAAATAGATGAGTCATATAGAATGCGTTGTCTTTAATAAATGATCACGGACCAACTTTTTAAAAGCATACTTTTTGGGAGCTTTTCTGATGTCATCGGGCAAGGAGTTCCAAAGGCGTGTAGCCTGAACTGTGAAGGAGTTACCATAGAACTCGGTGAAGTGAACAGGAGTACAGATTTTGTTGTTAGGAGAAGAGCGAATTCCCTATCATGAGATGAGGAAAGATAATGAAATTTATTCTTAAGATAAGAAGGCGAAGCGAAAAAAGTACAAGAAATATTCTGGAGTTGCGCCTCTGTCGGATTGTAAGCCAATTTAGCTTATATCTGTATTGCGAAATATGATCATACTTACGAAGCCCAAAGATAAATCTTGAGGAGGCGTTCTAGCTTGTTCAGAAGATTTTGGGACAGGTCTGGGTAACACACATCTGCATAATCAATTATGGGTAATATAAGTGAATGGACAAGCATGATCTTAGATTTTGTGGGAAAAATGTTTTAAACGATACAGAGAGCATAACGTGGCAGTGACTTTACGACTCACATCTGAAACCTGAGTTCTCCAATTCATCGTGGTGTCGATGAGAAGGCCAAGATTTCTAACAGAATTACTGAATGGAATTGCAGTATTATCATAGTAAATAGGAGGTCTGTAAGTCTGTCAGATTAA